TGCTGCGCCCGCTGGTGGGGTCGGGGGCGTCCATGAATAGGTGTTTCCCCGAAGCAGCAGGAGATGTGGGTGGGGCGTTGCTATACTTCTTTCGTGTAGAGGGAGCTGAAGGCAGATGTGCTATTCCCTTGGCTGATCAGATACCTGTTTTTTACATGACTTTGCATTAAAGAGTGGTCGTCAGGCGCTGGAGTAGGTTGCCCAGGACGCTGTGGAGTCTCCACCCCTGACTAATCTGTGTCTATTAGGATGAGGAAAGTTGGCACTCGAAAATAGGCATTTTTTGAAAGCGTGGGGTCAGAACGCTTAAGGAGTTCAGGAAGAAAACTGAAGCTACACCTGGGGGTATTGGCCGCAGAAACGATACTGCTGAGGTGGAGAGTTGTTTAAAAGTGTCAACACTGGTCAATTCTACTGAGCACAATGCTTGGTGGTTCCTCTTCGTCCAGGTGCTGGGCTGTGCTGGTTCCTCGAAGAGATGGATGGCAGTGCTTTTCATATACACGCGAAAGGAGCTGATTATAAACATGCATACATTGCTGGTTTCTTAGTCTGTACAGTTCAAACAGCTCCTCTCAGTGACTTACCTTAGATACTGACTACGGCGCTATATCGGATCTGAGGACACCTATCAGTTTGGGGAGTGAAGAAAGAACTGTGCATTATGAGTCTAAGTTCAATTAGAGAAAAAAGTTTCAAGTTATTTCATTGACTCCCTGGCTAATGGAAGCGAGACAAAGATATTTAGTGATCAGTATTAACAAAAACCAAAGAATGAACCAGCAAGAATGAGAAATGATACACCACTCCTTTGCAGTGCAGCCTGGGCTGGGCTCTTGCTGACAGTGATCTAGGATCCAAGGAGCTGGCTGGCAGCGCTGGAGGGTGCAAGGGTAACAGCAAGGGATTACTCCCTCCCTGAGCTGCACTAAAGTTTCAAAAAGGTGCATAATAGCCATCTTTCTAAGGATTTTGTAAGGAGCAGAAGAAAAGGAAAGGTCTGGCCATTTCCACTTTTGAATATTCACCATTTTTACTACATTTTAATACCAATTTTGTTATTATATTTTCCTATAAATAAAATACTGTTCTGTTTTGCTCATGTTTACTCTACATCTCACAATTCTGACAATGTTCAGGTTCCAGAGTTATAATCAGATTTATATCTATTTTAATTTGGTCTTTTTCCTTTGTAGCCCACATTTTTCTAAAATAGAGGATGTATGTAAAAAATTAATGATAGACAAAACAATTATAGTGAAACAGATTCTCTCATTTACATCATAGCAAATTTGGATTAGTCTCTAACTAATCTAGATTCACTCCAGATTGATTGTACAAGAGAGGAGTTAAGAAAACAATTTAACTTATATCTACAGTAGCTAAAAGACTAAGCTAGTTGGGTAATTTTTTCTTATTATAAAAGAATAATTCCAAAAGTGAAGTTATTTCAACAATGGAAAGAGTCAGAAGTCTGTTCAGGATTATGTACCTGATAATTTTGCAATAACTCCCAAACCTAGATATGTTGATTTGTGTAACTATTGGGACTATGAGATGGTATCAGGATTAGTTCTTGCCTTTGTTAGACATATGTGGGAAGAAGATTATAATTTTTCCCAATAACGTGCTGTGGGACAGTGATTAAGGAGCAGCCTGCTCCTCAAGGTGCTTGCTGGCAGGACTGACATGTTTCTTTGCCTCTTCACCTGACCTCCTTAGCCCCTGGGGCCCAGCAGGAGAGAGGAGATGCTGAACTCGAGAGGGCTGAGGGTTATCTTGAATGCTTAAGTTTGAGTTGGACTGCACAGATTTTTTTTTTTTAATTTCCCTGATTGTGTGAGATTCAGATGAAATCAAGTCATAGTTGTACTTTTTAGCTATCTCTGTCTCATTCTGAGTACTGTTCATGTTTCTAAAACATAGATTTATTTTTTAAACGGACATGTATGCATAGATGGCTTTTGACTTTAACCCTATCTTTAATTCTATGCTCTTTTCTTAGGAGAGTTGCTTGCTTTCTATTGGAAATTTGCCTGAGTGAGGCATGCAGGATCTGGAGTTATGTTTGTGTCAGATGATGGTAATATATTGACTACACTTAGGTGGTGACTGTTTTTGGATGTGTTAATGGACGAAAAGTGAGGTAGACGCATTGTATAGATATTACAGATCATGTTCATCATCTGCAAGTAATAAAATAGCCATCTGGATAAAATAGAACTTGATTTTATTTAAAGTTCTAACATCAAGCTTCTAATACACCCTCACTGAATCTGTGTGGGTTTTATTAATGATTAATGTGAAAACTTTTCAGGTGTTTTTCCTCCCACCAATAAACAGAAAGATTCCCACAGAAAATGCGAGCCTGCAGTCAACTCGGTAAGTAGTTTAACTTAGGAGTGTAAATAAAATATTTCATTTCAATGCAGATAGCATCAGACATTGCCACATCTGTTAAGAAAGAACAACATGAAAATTAGGAAGGAATTGGAAAGTTCAGCGATATGGCCAACATCCAAGCTAGCTTTGCAAATCTGATCCTGTAAAGCAAATATTTAACATGCAGGCAAACTGCCAGGCCTAATTTTTAAATACTTACGTTGAAAGGGCAATCTTACACTGTTACTCAAAAAACATTTCCAGAGATTTTTCTTCTGTAGTAATTCAGTAGGACAGTAACAGCATAATTTTTTTCAGGGGTGCTTAAGGAAGTGCTTGAAAATATTAAAAAGATGCTGTCAGATTTTTAGTTTGAAATCCAGCTGTAGAACTAAAAAAAAGTTTTGGTTTTGTTTTTTGTCCTCATTATAGGAACAGACCTACATGCCTTGCACATTGCAAACGCCAGCCACCGGATAGTCCTGGTGAGGAATGGCAGTCATTGCCTGGTGATGGCATTACCATCTTTAACATTTTGTCATTGTGGGCATTTAAGGATGACAGATATACACTCTCTCTTATTTCCTGTCCCTGAAGAAAGCCTTGGAACTAGGATGTTATGCTAGTTTAATATCTGTTAATAGGCCACCTTTAGAGTTAGATTGGGTTGCTTTTGTTCTGATGAACTGCATGGAACTATACATTATGTTTGCAATGTCCTTTGCGTACTCATCAGTTCTGTGCTGCTGAAACCCTATTCTGCCAGCCAGGTTAAAACTCAGTCATGGGGTTTTGCTGGCACAATCGATGGTCTTGCTGTTCATTTCAGCAGAAGATAGATGGGAAAGTATGTATTTTGCCAGACCCTGGTATTTGTCGCTCTGCAAATAAGTGCCTCCGATACTGTCACTATTACTGGGAACACTTCCTGACAGTGCTAGCTTTTCTGCCATCCGTACTGTTATTGAAAAATTGTAGCAAGAAAATATCCTAAGGAGAAGACAAACAAAACTCATTTGTTTGTGATTCATCCTTTCTGATTATGAAATTCTGTCATGTTTTGACAATAAAAGAAATACATGCTTAGGCAACAACAGATTAAAAAGCCTTTTTTTCTTCCCTGATGTATGAATACATCAGAGCTTTCAAAGAGAAAGCTGAAGAGGGCAAAATAAAATTGTTCTCAGAGTTAGTGAAGAGAGTTTTGACTGATGACTCATGTTCTTCTGGACAGAGTTTATAGGCCATTCCTCACATGCTATTAGAGTAAATGTAACAACTTTTATTCATCCTCCCCCATAAAGTACCTCTTGTGAAAGAGCTTCTTTATCATCTTGTTTCCTGATGTATTTTTGTCATTTACTAGAAAGGAGATGAAGTTCATGATTTCCAAGGTATACAAAAAGTAGTGCAGCCTTTTGCAATTGTAGGTTGAAGAAAGGGGTCAAATGTTTATGTTTCCCTAAGAATATTTCCCTAAGAACTTCGGCAGGAGATCAGTAGATCTCTTTTACAAAGTGTTCTTTTTCAGAACTTCAGAAAAAGGAAAATTTCAGAAAGGCCCGCTGTTGCTCCCATTGAACTGAAACAATTTAAAAACTGCTTATTGCATCTTCCTCTGCTCCTTGTACATTAATTGACTAAACAAAACAAGTAATCGTAATAAACTCACAAATACATGAACATCAATCAAATACGATTATCTTATAGGCAGCTGTGATCAGAAATACACCTTTACAAGAGCACTCTCTACAGCACAAGCTTCAGTGAACAAGATTAGTTCATATTCTAAACCCTGAAGATCATTAAACTGTAGACCGTTTGAGAGCTCCATCCTGAAAATGCTCTACCTCCTACCCTCTTACAGGCTGTTGCTAATAAATGCAAGCAGGACTGAGGGAAAAATTCTAATATCCAAGACCCAACAGATGGGTGGATGCTCTGCGTATGGACTCCTTTAGGTGAAAGGAGAAAAAGTGGTGTTATAACATAAAGTTAAACCATTGCAATAAAGGAAGTGAAAATGTTCCCTCTATCTTCCAAAGTCACAGCTGCAGAGCTATTTTGAACAGTGTATTTACAAATCCAGATTTGCATAGTCCAAACAGCAGGCCCAAGTGCTGACCACAGCAAAGAGCACTCATCCTGTTTTGTAAAACCAAATCCAAGGTGAGTTCACTGAGACAGAAAATTCTAGCCTAGACAGAGAAGTAACAATCATAACAGCACTAAACTGGACCCAGCACACTCAGTGAAGCACAAAAAAAGCTCTGAGAAATGTTTGAGCCCAACAATGTGTAATGTGCAGTGTACCTCTACGTTAAGACCCTCTGCTAATGGAAATAAATGATTAATGCCTCCTTCAGGAAGAGAGCAACTGATATCCTTCCTAGAGAGACCTAATTTATCCTGTATTCAAAAAACATCCCTCAGAACACCAGAAGGTTGCACGCCCTGGGTGCGGAGCAGCCTGAATGAACTGACAATGAATTGCATATCATTTTGCTGTCTCTTGGAAAGGTGACGGAGAAAAATAGTGATATGTGATGTCATTTGTATGTGTAGGTCTCACTGAGCTAATCGAGCTATTTTTTTTCTTTTATCCTCCTCTATTAATTTATTGTATAATTAAGCTGTATGGTGAGACAGTAGTGGTCCTCAGTTTGTGGGCCCAAACATATAGCTGCGTTCTAGGCAAGAGAAGTCCTGCTGTATGGAGGGGGAAGGATCTAGCATGCAAACCAAGAGGTCCTGGACTCGTGAACTCTCAGAAGACCAGGATCATGGTACACTAAGAAATATGCCTGTCCTGCAAAACAGACTTCTGAACTTGTTTAGTAGAAACATTTATAACCGTAAGATACAGCCCTGTAGAATAAAAATGAATGTAGTAATCATCTGAACCGGGAGGAATGGAAACATTTCTGTCTGGGCCCTTAGAGTAAAACCTGCCCTCTGCGTCCTGGCACCAGGCCTCCAAACTAAAGATAGATGTTTTGGTGATCCTTCTCTCTCCTAGGTACTTTTTTGCTGTATGTATCATTCCTAGCCTTAGAAGTGGAAGAATGGTATATTTTTAGCTTTGTTTAGGCCAGACATCTGTATTTGTGGCTTATTCTATGTCCACAAATGAATTCTGAGCAGCTACAGTTTTTTTTAAGGTGAATTGTTTGAGGTGCTGCCATATTTGGATGTCCAATGTGCCCCAGCTTTAAAAACTCTGATTTTCAATCACCTAATCAAGTTTTCATATTTTGAAAATAACACCTATTTTAGGTGTCTTCCTAAAATTAAGGCCTCTAATTCACTTCAGAAAATCATGTTGTGATCAGTGCCCTTGCTCAGGTGGCCAGAAAGCCATGCATAATTATTAAAATAGATGCCCAGATTCAGACATATCTTAAGAATCTATGAAACCTTGAATGTGGGTAGCTTATATTGTCAGAACTCTTTGTCATATGTGGAATAAGATTGGACCCACTACACGCAGTACAGGGTTTACTGCATATGTGTGGATTGAATGAGTGTCACATAGGTAGACCTGACACATCTGGGATTGTACTTAACGTGTACTTGCTGTGGGGGATCACCTTTCAAAGTGAGGCCCAGTTAATTGACCTAGTTAGCCCAGCCAGCATCTTCATCTAGGAATTTTGTGTGCAAAAAATAGGCATATTAAAGAGAGTGAGAATAAAGAATCCACACATTTAAAGGTTTCACTGTAAGGTGATCCACACAGATGTTCTATTGATCTGTTATATCCCCTTGGGAACAGAGTGAAAGCCATCCTACTCAAAGTGATATTGATGTGTTAAAATAATGTAGCAAAGAAAAAAAACCATGTCAAATGCTTAATAAATCATAAGATACTGTTGAAACAGTCATTCAAATGAATGGAGAAGGCATAATACCATGTAAATAATGAATGATTTCTCTTATTGAACGCCTGAGAGAGAGATGACAAGTATTTAAGAGATAACATTCTCCCTATAGCAGAGTTTTGTGAGGCAAGGAGAACACTGGAGAGCTGCCTGAGGGCTGGATTTTGTCCCAAGGGTGGGAAAAAGTGGTTCCAAGTGGAGCAGGAACACGGCACTGCTGAGATGGCATGGTACTTCCTATGGGCTGCTTCTTGAAGGCAACAACTCCTGATGAGTTACTGCAGCCGCCTGAAATACAGCTATTGGAATTAAAAAGGAGCTGGATGATGCTGTTTGACGCAGGAGATGCCATGACTTTGAGTCAGTGGGGTTTGCTCGTTAGTGGTTAAAGTTTGAGGGTGCCTAAGATTCAATAGAGGCAGAAGATCTTTGGCATTGTAGTGTTCAGGGTTGCAGTACCAAAGAGAGCAGTTCAGGAAGGTGGAGTGCCCCTGGGTGCTTCTGTCCTCTCAAAGTAAATGGCAGGGAGCTAAATGCCCCAGCTGAGACTGACAACAGCCTAAGTGCTGGGGCAAGGAGAGGAGTGGGTCTGAAACTGTTACCTCAACAGCTAGATCCTCCTCTTCTTAGAAGCACACACCATAGAAATGGGATATTTGTGGTTTACAAGCACTTGCAGGGTTAAGTCCCTAATTCCTGCAATCTAAGAACATGTCCTGATCTCCAGGCTAAAGGATGGACAGCCAGAAGCGTTGCCTGTTGAAGCTGAACTGCTGTGCAGTAAATTCTGTAAGGTTAATGTGTCCAGATTGTGGTAGATGAGGATAACACCATGACTCTAAAATCTTACGGCTACAGCATACTGCTGGGAGTGGAAGCCCTGGTGTTAGGAAAATCATAGGATTAAAAAGAAGAAACAACCCCAAAAGGCCAGACCAAACCCACAGGTCTGTCCCCTTCCAGGTGAAGGCCCAAAGCAGTAGAGGGGGATCACACCCTCTCTAGCTTGCACTCTGCCTGCCTGTACGAGGCTCAGCTTTTTTATTGTACTCTGAATACTTTCTAGCCTGATGGTTAGCAGGCCCGTCTTGGGGCATGGATCCATGGTGCCTGGCTCTG